GTACCTTTCTTTATCAGCTGAGAATCTTGATTATTTTAGGAGAATATTGATGAGATTGCATTGTATTGTGATATATATACTGTATGTTCCAGTAACAGCAATATACCGTAGTTTAATACATTGTTAAATAACATAACTGCTATTCACTGAACTCAGACATTGAAGAGGGAGGAGAAAAAGAGTTCTTCAAGTAGCTTCATTATAAATGTTTTACAATTAGTTTAAACTGTTTTTCCTTTAAAAAAAATCTTTTAGTAAGTGCTGTTTTGTAGCTCTTGTTTTTACAGTAATTTTATAGACAAAATTCATTTAAATTAGCCCTCTTCTGGTAAATGGAATGTTTATATACATTTCTATTGCTTAGCTTTATTTTGCTGAGTTGGAATGAAAACATAAAATAAATGAAAACATCTTATATTTTGATTGGGATAATGTCATCCACAGAAACTAATCTGATTGGTGGAGTGGTAATTTCTTTGTTCTCTGATTTTACTAAGAATGCAAATGAAAACCACTCAGTTTTATTTAGCATTAAAACTGCACTTTATTTTGTCAAAGGAGAGGTTTCCCCTTGAATTGTAAGTACAAAAAAGTGTTTTTAATCTTCAATGAATATCCTTATTAATTCACTTTCAAGATAATCTGATGTTGATTTGTCAAATTTAATTACAGCTTCCGGTAACACTTGAAGTCTACTGCTTTTGCTTCAAAATTGTAATATGAAAATGCAAATTGAATGATAATTTACAAGGGAGTGGGCATTTTAGTTGAACACTCAAAGACAAGTTCCTTGTGGAAATGAGGCTATTGATGCAGTTTATGATTTTTCCTCTTCAAGCACTTTAAACAAATTAACTTTATTTCCTGCAGGATTTCATGTACATCCATAAATTCTAGTGAAGTCTTATGTATGTACATTCTGAGGATTTTTCTTGTATATTTTAAGAAAAAATCAAGTCTAATGATTACAGATTGAATAGGAGGAGACTATATTTTCTCTGAATGTACTTACCTAATATTCACAGTGACTAACCAGCCTCTTTCTATGAAATGTTCAAAAATTATTTCAGGATTGTCTTTTTACTTTTAGGCACTCCAAGCAGCAAGACAGCTGCTCTTACAGCAACAGACAAGTGGACTGAAATCTCCTAAGGGCAGTGATAAACAGAGACCACTGCAGGTTAGTAAAATATGCTTATCTTTGGGGCCTTATTCACAAGGAAGTGCATTGTGCTCGCACATGTATGTGTATGTCTGTAGTGTACTCTTGCATATGTACAGATTCACAAATACAGTAGATATGCTTGCGTGCTAGTAGTTCATTTCTGATTCATAAAGAAAACTCACTGCACAATAAGAAAATGTAGTAGTTTGTAGATACTTAAAAGGTCACTTACTACAGAGATTTATGCAAACCAAATTTGAGTTCAATAGCTACAATATAAAGAATGTTTGTATAGATATCTTGAGAGATTGTGTGTGCTCTTACTTACAAATGGATGTAAAAATTCCTGTGTCAAGACTAGGAGTAAAATGATGTCTAAGAAAACAAAGCAGCCGTAGACAATCCACTAGCATTCCAACCAAGGGACAAATGCAGAACAACCCAAAGCTGCCAACACAACTGCGTGAATTGCAAAGGAGCTGCACCTGCTGCTTTTAGAAAAAATATATTCTAGAGTTTCATATTTGAATGCTGTGTTTCATTCAGCATTTGTGAATTGCTTTACCACATGTTGAGTAATTTTTCCAAGTACTTTATTAATAAAAATATGTGTACCATTTGTAAAAGGTAAAACGTGTTATCCCAGGAAGTTTTGGTTGTTTTTTTGTTGTAAATTTTACCTCATTCGTAGGTTGTTGTAAGTAAGAGTTCTATATGAAATTATACACTGCTAACACCAGAGATTCTCACTCATTTCAAGCATACCAAATATTCATATTTTCACCTGTGAACAGCAAAAGACAACAATATGTGAGAGATGATTGTGCATGGCTCAGAGTGTAAAGAAAGTATAATTCCTCCCATCTTTTCCCTCACAGCCCCTATCTTTAGGCCTTTTGGAGGTCACATATTCTTTGATAGGCCAGTGAATTTCTGTGTGGTGCCTTTCTGGTTGGGGTTCTCCACTGAGCCAGAATTCCAAACAGCCACTTGGGGCTGCTCTGCATCCTCAGTTAACTTTCTTTAAATAAGTGTCTTTTTGTCTCAGATGTAATTTGTGTGGTGTGTTCTTTGGCTTTAGTCTTCGTGCCATTTTTCTCTTCTGGGGTGTCTAAGGGAGTATCTCATACACAAGAGTTTTTTTTTCTTTCTTTCTCTCTTTCATGTGAAATTTTGCCAGAAACATTATGTTCACTTGTGCACTTTTTAATGTAATTCCACATTTTCACCCTTTTCTTTGTGACACATTCATGAAGGAACATAAGGACTCGTTCACACAGCTCTACGCTTCCACCTTTTTCCAATGTGCTTTTTAAATTGCAGCAATTTGCATACTTACGAGCTGTCTCAGTTCAGTGAGGACTGCCCTGGCTTTTTTAAACCAACTATAAGTGCTTACAACCAGGCCAAAGACTCAGGCAGATGTCTAAGGGGAATTAAATATATACAGTTGGCATTATGCCATGAGGATCTGCTATAGAAAGCAAGCAAGAGTCCTGAGACTGTCTCAGCTTCCCCACTCTTCTCCTCAGTGTTGGCTTTTCCCTCTACCGGATGTTCTGAAAGCTGAGGACAGAGACAAAAAAAGTGGCCAGACAGGCAGCAGCTGCCTGACCTGCCAGCCATGTTTCTTCAGTGAGTGCTTAAGGGTAGGATTGGCAGCTCAACGCTCCACCCACCACCTGGTCTTTATCTCAAGTCTAAGGAGGAAAGTGTTGGAAGGAACAGCTGGGAGGGATGGACGGTGATGAAAGAAGGGAAACACATAGGGAGTCAGACCTGAAACCTAGAGTGATGGTGAGAGATTCTTCTGAAAGAGGGGGAGAGATTGGAGGAGATGCTCTGTGTCCTCATATTCCCTATGGATCAAACATGGAGGATATGCCTTGTGTTTTTCAGTCTCCCAGGGAAAGGAAAGGTATGTCTACATTAGAATTAAACACCCACAGCTGGACCGTGTCAATTGACTTGAGTTCACGGGGCTTGGGCTATGGAACTATTTAATTGCTGTGTAGAAGTTCGGGCTCCAGCCTGAGCTTGAACATCTATTAAACAGTCCCATAGACTGAATCAGCTGTCATGGGCAGCCATGTGTGTTTAACTGCAGTGTAGACATGCCCTAAGTGGTAAAGATGCCTCGTGCTTCCTTCTCACCAGTGGTGGTGAAACAGGGGAGGAGTAAATAAAGAAAACAAATAGCAAATACTTTCTTTTCAAAAGCTCTCTAAAGCCAGGATTGCTCCTTTTTTATGCCAGATTTTGCTCTAGACACCCAGAATGCCCACAATGTCTCTTATTAAGTGTGTGCACTTTATTTGATACCTTTTAAATGAAAGAAAAATGAAATTTGTTCTCCAACTTCAGTTTAGGTATTAAATGTCATGTAAATTAAGGCCTGAGTATAATTCCATGTTTTATTTTTCTTTCTGACTGTAAAGTGTATAAAAAGGTTTGAAAATAAGTTCTTGGAGTTTTTTTATTTCTGTCGTTGACTGTTAATACAGAGCTTTGCATTGTTCGTTATGTAGTGGAAATTTACATCTTGAGCATTATGATGCCGGTTAGGCCCAATATTGTAGTACAGGTCATAAAATTGTACCACATTACTACATTATTATGCCAGATTTAATGGTAACTTAATGCCAAAGTTTCATAGCAATAGGCACCAATACATATATACAGGTCTTAACAATGTGGGGTTTAGAGAACACAAATACAAAGAAACATATGCTTGAAGTAAAAGGAGAGAACAAACTTCTCCCACCAAAATATTAAATTAGCTTCAGTATTAATGTGTTTCTAATTTCAGAGCCACTGACCAATCTGGCAACTGGAAACAGATTGGGACTATATTATGGATCTAATAAAACTTTTAAAGTAACATCTGCATTCAAATGGAGGCGTTAGGTAATAATTCCCATTGCACCTCTCATGCACTCCATATTTTGATGTAAATAAGGAGCACATACATAAGGAGAAAGAAGGAGGAACAAATTTTATATTTTTGTAGCCATTTTGTTAGAAATTGTATTGTGTCTATTTTTGAAACACTCAGTATGGTATTTTATGTATGTTTTCTTTATTACTCAGTAATATGTGCAGTATTGTAGTGGCCTGTGGCACACATTAGCTAATGAGCAGGTTGAAAGGTTACTGCAGAAACTTTCAACCTCCCCTCACACTCATTGGCAAAAGTAGGGTTTTGGGGTAGTGGGCCTTGGATTTCTTATGGTACTTCACACACAGTATGCCTTTAGGGAACCCTCTGGGATCATTCCAGAGGAATTTGGGTAGTGATCCAAAGCAGTTCTTACTTGCTTCTTATGAAAAAATCCTTGTGAAAGTGACAGCATGTTATATACGCTGGATAAAGGGAGATAAGTCTTATGTTTTGCATTTTATATGTTTATGTATTTATGTGTTTATTTATTTATTTAAATGGAAAAATATTATCATCATCCGGTTAGATCACAAATATTATTTCTTAAAGGTGCTCGTAGTTTAGACTTGGATCTGACCTTGTTCTGAATGATAACTGCATAGCTGTAAAATTTTTATAGATGGCCTGTTCCCAGAATGCGTATGTCTATCTACTTATCTCTATTTTTTTATTTACATTTTTTCTGGGTTTCAGGGCTGCAGATGGCATAAGCATTAGCATGTCTTATGCAAAACAGAGAAAAACATCCCATCTGACAAGCCTGAGTACGAGTTGTAGTAGTGATTTTACTTTCATGTATAGATATCTGAATAAATGTATTTGAAACATGTTTATATATGCCATTCATTACCCTAATGCACCAATTGAATGGATCCAATCAGTAGGTACACTGATTAACAACATATAGCAGAATAACTAAATAGGGATAGTGATGCGAACGGAAGATATTAGCCTAAGTATTATGAGATATATTTTACTGTCTTATCTGTACATCCTTAAAAACATATTGTAATACTAAGGATAAGATTTTTGTAATGTTATTTTTGGTTCCTGAAAATGTGTTATCTTCACTAGTGATGCTGTGATTATGGTGACCTGTCGTGGAGCAAGCTGGCCACACGCCTGGAATTATTTAAATGTCATGACAATACATTCCCAGAGTACGTATAATAAATAAAAATCACTTAGACTTTTAGAACCTTTTCAGACAAGTAACTTTCCTACAGCCACTGAAGAATCTAGCGTCATGTAGCTTAGGTATGAAAACTTGCAGCATTATTGTTCTTGTTACATTTACAGCCATGAGTCAGACTTGTGGCTCTTCAACAACTGTACAAATTCTATTGATTTGCTATCATAGTTGAGCATTAGTGTGCTAGGATTATTTCCTTTATTTCGGGTAGTCTAATCTTTACATTGCTCATGTTTTACATTCTGCTGTAGGCTGCATACCTATTTGGATGGCAAGTTATACTTTTTTCTATAAGATCTATGAAAATCTGTTTTTTTCTATCCAGTGTAATCTCTATAATGGAGTACCTCATTTTCATGAAGTCGGGCTTCAAACTTTTTCTTAACTGCTAATTATTTTTAATTCTGTAGGTTAATGTATTTATAGCTAACTGGTTGCTTATTAACATCTTAGTGCTAAAAGATTTGTTGCTTTCAACGTCAATAGGAATGCATTTTGTATTAGGATGCTATGTCAGGAAATCATGACTCCTGGAACCAAAGGGTTAAGCTCAGTGTGTACCAAGCCTGTTGTATAAATATCATGCTGTAGGGAGAGTTAGTTGTTAAGGCAAGCTTTGTTTGTTTAGTATGAACACGTCATTGAAATAAGCATTTTATAAAATTTGGTTTTAGGAAAGTTAAGTATACATTTAAGTTTCATTACTTAATGTTTATTTTCTTAGTGTTTAGTATCCAGAGTACTAGAAGTTGGAAATACGTGTATATATAAAATGTCTAAAATATCAGACATTATCTTTTTGTAAAGTATTTTATTCAAAGATAAGTCTGACAGTACACCTTCACAACAAAGAGATTACAAGCCCTGATTTGTCATACAGAG